AAACTCCGCGATCGAGCTAACTTGCAACAGCGACGCCGACCGTCCGTGCATATTACCGTGTTCGTTCTCGATATAATCGAAAATATAAACTACACGGAATTATTATTACGTCCAGAGTACGGTTTCGTATAACCGGGGAAATAACTTTGATTTTATTTTAATTATCCCTGTAATTTCCCGTGCGTATATATTCGAATAATAAAATTGTTGTTAGCGGATTCCGTCGCGAGGTATATTCTGCTACATCGTCGTCGAAGGTACGAAATACGCTATTCTACGGTCGCGCCGACACCAGTCCACGAGTTTGTCGCCTAGATTCCAGCGCAGGAACACAGGACCCAATGAACAAAATTACATTCAGCTGAAACAAGTCCACCGTAGGGCGTAACGCTCCTCAAGGACTACGAGAATGCTCGTGTCCGCATTTTCGCTCGTTCTCTCGGCCCTCTGGAACAGTCGAGTTGGCCACTGCTTCGAGGAGCAAACGAGGTTATGCAGCAAACGGACCAGCGACGACAAGAGCCGCGCAGTAAAGTATAAAATATGAAGCTCGACGATGCCGTGAGATCTCTGTCTTCCAGCGTTTCACGACCGCGTTCATTGTCTACTTGTTAAGGCGATGGAAACGCGGCGAAAACATTACCGGCCGTTCGTATAAACTTCTGCAAAACGGACTTCGTCTAAATAGACTTCCAGCAAGCGGGCGAAAATATTTTAATCGGTCTACGTGGGACTTCTAACTGCGCAGTAGTCGTTCAAAATTGTTCAGGTTCGATCTACTCGTGATACATGACTCTCCTTAACTCCGAAACGATCCTTTTTTCTATCTAAAATACTGGTTATAAGGGGAAATCTAAGTAGAATGTATCGACGCTTGGTCAGACGCCCGAGGTAAACATTGAAAAATTAAATATATTCACGGATAAAATGAAAAGTTCATTTTCAATAGAATTCCAAGCTCTGCTAGATCAGATCCTTTAATTGGCTCTCAAAAAATTATCGTATGTATACAAGTAAGTGAAACGTATCCACGTTTGGTCAGACACCTGAGTAAGTAGTATATATCGGTGCCTAGGTAAACACTGAAAAATTGCGTATATTCATGGACAATATAAGCAATTTATTTTCAATAGAATTCCAAGTTCCACGTATCTACGCCTGGTCAGAACGCCTGCTAAGTAGTATAAGTCCGCATTTGGGTAAACATAGGAGAATCGAATGAACTCTTGGGAGATTAATTTCGTAACCAGAGGCCGATCATTGACTCTTCATACAGTAGCAATCATGCAAAGGCTACTGGAATGAACCTACGACTGGGCATTAAAGATGAAGTGGAGTGTATTCGTGCCTGGGCAGACACGTACAGTATAAAATATGAAGCTCACGACGTCGTGCGATCCATCCTCGCCTATTTCGCGGCCACGTTCTTCGTCTGCTTGTTAAGGGCGGTGGTATACGCGAACTTTCCCGGCTATCCGTGCAAACTTCTTCCGCGAAATATACTTGGTTGCTGGCGCCTCGCGATCAAGGGAAGAAGTTCGTGGCTTAGCCGCGGATCGATGGAGGAAAATTTGGACCCCGGTAAAGTGTATTGGACACCGATGAATATTTAACGCGTCGGATCCCACGCCTCTACCTCGAACGGGAACAGTACGACCCACTACCGAAGCTGTGGAACTATTTATTCCCGCGTAGCTTTTATTTTCTAGTCGCAGTAGTTCCGTAGTCGCGTTCGTAGAAGGATAATAGAAAAGTTTTACGAACGTGAAATCGTTATTTTTGTCGTGGAACTTTTCCAGCGAAATCAGAGAACAATAAGAGGAGAGGGCTTTCATCTAGATACTGAAGAATCTGACATTCTGTCATACTTAATTATACAGGCCATTCAACGAACAAGGAAAAGTTATTCTTCCACGAGTTACTGGAACGGGAAATCTGAAATTAGTTTGACAGGGTTGATCAGCGGGACCACGCTTCGCGAGTGGAAGTTTCCATGAATTTTCTAGGGGTTTCAGCTTCCAAGTACTTTGACCCCTTTCGTGGATAGTGACCTTGGATAAGATAGCAGAAAACGGACGACCGAGGTGTTAAAAAGGTGGATACAGGGTAGCAGCAATAAGGACTTCGTCAAGGAGCTCTTAAACAGGATCAACGGGGGGGGATTTTCAGCGCGAAGTTTCGTTCCGCCGCGCGGGTCGAAGTTCCGTGGCCCCGTTTAAAACCGTAATTGCACAACTTACAAAAATTCTCTCTGCGTCGCGCGTCTCGAGCCGTCAGCTTCCGTTTCGTGTAAAGAACACGACCTATATTCCCCCCGCGAGGGATCCGTCGACGGAATTTTGCATGAAGCAGTATGTTACGGTGACGCCGGATGATAAACGACGGCGACAGGAATTTTGAGAAAACTCGTAGAATTTACAGCGGCGCGGAATTTCGCGGGACACAAAACACTCATAAAATCTATATGTAATGTGACAAACTGAAAATACAGTTTCCTCGCAGCGAAATTTTATAGACGAACGGCTGAATTGCATTTTCAAGCGTGTCCGCGTTCCGTCGAGCGCTCGATATTTCACGAGCTCGAGCGTTCGATTGTTATTTACGCGTATTAATTTTTGTGTCGTACGCTAATTGGTAGTTTTTCAAGCAACTATTCTGTGCAGGAAAGGTAGAACGGTATGATGCGTTGGAGCGTTTCGAGGCACGAGAAGCGGAGAATATTTGCGAACAGACTGTCGCGATCCGGGAGCGGCGAAGAATGGCAACGACCGTCATCGCCGGGCGCCACTTCCGCGGAACGTTATCGGTTAATTAATATCTTGTTTAAACTGCCGCCGTCGTCATTATTGCGTTACCGGGCCGGTCCTTTTAACGATCCTCTAGATAAATACTAGAACCCGATACCATCCTCGAGACTCGAACGCTCCGGCTCTCCCGCAGCCAATTCAATTCCGCGGCTCCCGTCGAAGGCGCCGCGGCGTGATTTTCCCCGAGCAAACCTCGTCTGGTGGGCAGAGATGAATCTCGTTCCTTTCTCCTAAAGATGTTACGCAGTTTCGTTGCTCTTAACGTAAATGAACGAACGGAGCGCGCAGGCTCCGGGCCCCGCACCCTTTTCGATCTTCTTCCGACGGTCTTGGTTTCTTTTTTCTCTCGCCTCCTTCGTTCCCCGCCCCCGGGAAAAAAGAAACGAGGACCGAAAGGGGTGGCGAACGGCGACGCGGAAGGTACCAAGAGTCGCTCGGCGTTATTACTTCGGGGAACAAACGAGGCCGTGCATTAAGTCCGCGGACTCGCGACGACGCCGGCGTCTTCATAAAACATAATGCATAAAGCTCGCCGGTGTCGCGCGACGCGTCTCCCGCTTTACGCTTTCCGTTTCCCGCGTTACCGCCGCGAGGTGATCCCGCGACAACCTCTTCACGGGCGTTATCGATGGCGATGCCGAGCGCAAAACCACGGACGAGATACACGAGTAGACCTTACACCTTATAGACTGCGGTCTGAAAATCTGGAGGCGATTTTAGCGTCATCGTCTCATGGATAGCGGTCATTTGAGAGATTATTCACTGAATAAGTATTGATGGACAAACAGATGTAGAGTTTTTAAGAAAAATCGAAGGGGGTCGGTGCAGAAATTTTTGGCGAAATTAAAAATTTTCAAATCATTCTAAAAAAATTATTTTTGGCTGCAGGGGTCGATTACAATCATTTTTTTTTAATAGACATACCCACGAAATCCTACGTACTTTCGAGAAAAAAATTCTTTACCGAAAATACAATGCCTGACCATATATGCCTGTTTTCCCTAAAATTTTCGGTGAAATTAAAAAATTTCAAATCATTCTGAAAAAATTATTTTCGTTTGCGGGGGTCGATTTCAATCATTATTGGTGAATACATGTAGCCTCGAAATCCTACACACTTTCGAGAAAAAAATTCTTAACCGAAAATATAGCCTCTAGTCAGAAATGTTTCCTAAAAATTTTTTTTTCGCGTGTCTTGGTGTTCGAGAAAATCGATTTCGGAAAGGTGAGTTTCGACACAAGGATCTTGTTATATATCTTTGGATAATTATAGCGAATCTGTGTATGAAATTGATTGAAGGTTCCATTAAATCAAGTTTGATTAAAACGCGCGCGTGTCCCGAACAGTCGAGGAACAGATTATCCCAAAAATAAAGACGGCTAAGGAAAATAAATAATTACCACGGTTTTCGTTAAATTTTACGCGCCTCCAAGATAATATCGCGTCGAAAGTGAACCACAGTTATAACGGAGGACAGTTTTCACCGTGATCGCTCACCGGTTAGCAGCTACTTGTCTGCATATTCATCAGCGTGTAATTAATACGTTTAAAAACAGGTAATGTTTGTACCATCGTGAAACCTGCATCACGTTTCCAAACAACACTCATTTCGCGCTAATATAAACACGGTATAATAATTCATGCCTTGTACATGCTTGTACTCGGTAACGTATATAACACCGCGTTTCAGAATTAATCTGTTTCATTTTCGGCTCGCTAAATATTTATTTGAGGTGCACGCCTGTTTTCTTGCATTATTAACGCGCGAATATTCCACCGCAGCTCGCACGCAGTGAAAGTAATCCGCAGCTAAATCTTCCGTGAAAGTTCGCGTGCACGCGCACGAACAAACGCACACACACCCACACGCGTACGCGTGCGAGAGAAAAAAAACAATTTCGCTTCTAGACGGTAATTTATTGCCGCTTTAGCCTTCCGAATGAGGGCCATTTCCATTTAAAGTGTTACCCACGCAGCCTGTGTGACAACCTGATGTAATTACATTTTTACATCTCTGGAAATCGTCGACTAAATATTATCTGAAATTATTATATCGAGATATTCCTATTCCAAAATTAAAATTTAATTGAAAACACGCCGTTATTTATGTTTCAAATTGGCTGGAGAGACTGAAAGGATCGAACTTCACCTACTTATTTAACAACGATTTGTGTTTTACTTTGGTGTCGCAGATCGCAAACGACAGCCTGCAATTCAGATCCAGATACTTCGAGATCCCTCAGGACGATGAGTCGATGGTGTCGAAATCCACGATAGACTTCAAGGTGACTAGCGAAATGTTTCGAAACGGAAGGCTGCACCTGCGCTGCACGGCCTCCATCGCGGACGTCTACCGGAAATCAGCCGATATCGAAATCAACGAGGACGCGCCGCGTATCGCGTCCATCACGGGGGAATCACCGCCACGAGGGCCTCGTGAGTAAACCTTCTACATATAAACTCCTATTTATTATAGAATAGTCAACCAAATTACACAGAATATACCAACAGCTAGTTTTGAAATATCGAGTGAAATTGGCAACAGTATATCCGTGTCCCTTCGATACACTTATCAAATCCCTTACGGTTCACCTATCACGCCGCACCCTATATACTCCTAACGACCATTTATCAAAAACTCACGTTCCAGCAGTAATCTCCTCCGCAAAACGTTGAAAGAATGCTTCCAACTACAATACCCGGTCAAATCATCCCCGTTCCCGCCATCCATTAACTCGGTAAACACTGCTAATAAAGGAAACTCCGGCCAGTGATACGGTTCCGGTGCTCCCGTTAACAAGGTAAACTCGCGAAAAAGAATTCTAATGACTCAGCGGATAGCTCGTTCATCAAAATGCTCGATATCGCTTCGAACATTGTTTCAAACTGGATGTTCGGAATTCATCTCTTCCGCCTCTGGACGTCCCAGCCGACAACAGAAAATTCTGCTTTCCCCGGTGTCGTTAAACCGAGCCATTCGATTCCGGCCATTTATCGGGCTCGTAGATCCGAATTGTACCAAGTGGCGACCGGAATCGTCAACACGGACGCGGATCGAAGTCTTCGTGAGCTTCGAAACTGGGGCTAAGCGATCGTCGAGGCGTTTTGGGTTCGGCCTTAATATCCAGCGAGATCGTCGCCGAGAACAATGCCCGCGACGGTAAAATTCAGCCGATCAGACCGAATAGGATAATACGATCGCCATGCAGCGTCCGGCTAGACGCTCCGGGCTCTATCGATCGAATCGCGTTGTTAATTGCGTCGTTACGATCCAACGAGGCGAACGGATGTCCGGGAATTTTATCTTCTTTCCGACTCGCTGGCTCTGATTTCTCAATGCACGCCACGGAACACGACGGGTAAAGGAAGACGAGAAATCGACCGGCAGTCCCGTACAGGGAACCTGAAATCGGTCGCAAGGAGTTGCCATCGAGGTTCGTGAATGCTGTCGTTACGCCACAATGTCATAAACTGGGATTCTTCGAGAACTATGCGTCGCTTTGGCCCTGTGAACCCCTTACTTAGCGCGTTAAGACTTCCGAGAATTCTACGCTGTACAGGGCGAAGCTAAACTTTAGACGATCGTAAAGTGCAGATCTTTCCTGAGATTAGATAGAGGAAGTGAGGAGAGATAGATGTCTTGACTCAGATTTTTAGACTAAAGTGGCATAGGGTGTTGACGAAAATGTAGGAGTCTCCTTCGGGATCAATTCCTCGCGTCAATACGGATCGAAAAGTTCTTTTCCGTTTTACAATCTGTGGCTTCGTTGGCGAGATATAAGCAGTTGAAGTTTGAGCATATTTTCTGCGAGGTGCGCATGCGCGATGAGCGATACAAATGGCGCCCATCGAGACTCATGGGTAAACTTTAACTGCTCGAATCTGTATAACAAAGCTTCGAATTGCGAAATGGTAAAGGACTTTTCGATTTCTTTTTTCACAAAGATCCTAAAGATCGGCATTTTTGTTGTTATTCTGTATATCGTATTAATTATCATCGAATATAAAGATAGAAGAACGAAATATCTGTCCTGGATAGACAAGTAACTGTTCCACAATGTAGAAACATTCATAGTACAGGATAAAGGAACGTCACAAATTACGTTTGGTTTTTAATTACACAGAATACGTAACAGAATACGCGGTAGTCCATTTCTGTGTTGTTCGATACAGTTATATTTCTCCTCCCTCTTTTGTTACAGTTAAAAAACCATGTAATATTTTTTTAATATTTTTGAAATATATTGATAACGAACCGGAGAACGAATAATGTTGTAACTTTCCAATAAAATGTTCAATTCAATTAAATCGACCAATATTTTTATTTTCACTGTTGTTTGAAATACCGATGAAATATTCAATCGAGATTAATTAATGATACTTCGACACTCGCCGATGGATTCCCATGGTCGACGCGTGACGATCATTCCACGCGTGTTTTCACCCGGAAATTCGTGCACTTCATTAAATCGTCGAGATTCTAAAGGTAATGCGGCAAATACAGTATTACTGGCTTCGTTAGTGAAGTACGGTCTGTAATTTAAACGTGGCATTGAAATAATTGTGTTGTTTAATGCGTTCCCGAATTCGTTAGAGCATGTGCGGTGATAATAAGGGATCCTTGCTGATAATTTGTTGCTAACGAATGGAGATTGTGTAACACGAGCCGAGGGTTTATAGAAATGCGCGAATTGTTTCATGAATACAACATTTATCGGGTTGCGTTCATCGACATACAAGCCTCTACCCGGATTATTTTAGCGAAAAATAAACACGGAATCCGTAAAATTGAATATATTCTGTTTCGATGTTTCGAAATATGTTTACCTAGTCGTTTTTACGCAGCCTGAAACGAAATAATAGTTTGCGTACCTCCTCCAACATTTACATCGTGTTTTGCTTCATCGACTCGATATCGACCGCGTTCTTTGTACGATTACGTTATAATTCCCAAACAAAAACTTTGTTAAATGGTGTACGTCGCGGGTTGGGGGGTGTAATAAATCGCGATGACGAGGCCGTTAGCAGATTAACCGGAACAAACCGACGATCGATGCGTTCGGAGTCGTTCCGTTGAACAGAGTCGTCGTCGTCCAGGATCGTCCATTTCGCTGTCGTGGCACGCAACCCCTAACAAAAGAATAATCGTAGAAACGGTGGACCGGGGTCCCGTATGTCTCGAGCGAAACGTAATAAGGCTAACAGCAACAATAACATTTATGGCCGTGCAGGCGCGCGGATCTATCGAGTCACGTGCGATCTTTCATGTGAATCACGCCACCCCCTTGACAGTTATGTGGGCTCTGCCGACCGTATCAGCACCGCGCCGAGAAGCCAGCAAACCGAGAGGGGCATGGGGCCGATTGTTCCAGCTGGAAAAGCAAAGCCGTTACCCTGTTACGGGAAATAGGATCGCGTCCCTAACTGAATCATTCCCCGCGATCTCGCCGTCGCGGGGCTTTTTGTTTCCATGCTCCTACACCCTCGCGCAATTATACCGCGTCGCGGCTACGCCATTGCGCCTCACCCATCTGCCCCGTTTATCTGTCGTTCCTTTTTTCTCGTTATGGCGGAGCTCGACGCGTCTAGACGCCGGAAACGAGTGCTGGCGATTGGGTACCTGGCATCCACGACCGTTTCAGCCGGGGATTCAAACGCATTTCTTAATTATAGTATCTACGAAGAGTATATATTATTATACGAGGTTGTACGATCGATGAACGCGTTGCTTGTTCGATCAAATCGATGCACCGAATTAGTTCGATGTCCCAGAGTCCAGGAATAACGAGTGTGCGCGAAATAAACCTTTGATGCGAAACGCAAACGTATAAAATCGTCCTCCAAAGCGCAGGGAGAATTCCTCTGTCGCGACAAAGGGTCTCGGTATTCGAAAAAAATTCGTCGCGTTTTACGAAAACACGAGGCAGCTAAATTCGCGACGCGGACTTTTCGACCGGCGCGATCAAAAACGACGACCGCACTGGTTTCATTCAACGCGGTTTCCACGCAACTACGTTTCCGCGAGCGACCCTCCCCTTTGTTGTGGAAAAAACGATATTCGTATCGAATCGAAATCTCATCGCGCGCACTTTTACGATTTGTAGGGGCTATTTTCACATGCCGCCGCCGGACAGCTGTATTCGAATCCCGCTGACTGGTCGAACGGAAAAACACGCTTCAGAGTCCCCTGGAATCCTTCGATCCGACCAAGAAAAAAACCCGATGCGCTTCTTTGAGGGGATCTATTTCACGGGACCCGGCTCCCTGTGAAATATGTACACACGGGGAATCCGTTTCCGATTAGAATACAAGCGGCTTCGCGCGGCTCACCCTCGGAGGAAGTTGAGGAATACGATTCCTCGAGGTATCTAAATGCGCATAAATTTCTGTTAACTCTGTCCCCGTTTGTATTTTAAAACGGTTAGGATATTACGCACCGTATCGGATCCCGTTTTATGGTATTTCCACGACATTTGATCTTTCGTGGCGGGCGATTGATCGAAAATTGTGTCTACCGCGGTCTCGGAATCGTAATTCGATCGACGTAGCATTGTTGTACGTGTAAAAGCACGTCAAAACTTCCTAGCGAAATTTCCTCGTACGATATTTCGTTCTCGAGAAAATCGACTTTGAAAATTGTTGGCGCGCCGTCTGACTATTACTCGATTGTTCTACTTCGTTTCGTGTTTGCAAAGGACAGTAACGTGTATTATAGAGTTTACGTGATTCTAATGGGTTAGAGTATCGTAAGATTAATAAATGAATATAGGAGTGAGCTTAACAATAGTACGGATGCCCCAAAAAATTTCAATCTCGACTATTTCGAGAACGATTCCCTTTTCTATTCATTTTTACACGCAGAATCCCATTCTGTTCGAGCATACAGCGATTTTAGGTGCAAATTATGTTATCAACGACTCGTAAAGGGGAAAATTTCACTTGAAGAGACAATTTTTTTATATTTTATTTCACCTGGTATTATTTTAATAGCGCCCGTAACGTAGCCATCGAGTTATTTCCTTCGTTCACGAAATAGTCGGGTCACTCGTCTCTCATTTTCCGCGAAGTTTTGAGAGTCATTAATCAATGGAGAATTCAGCAATTAACGCTCTGGTTTTATTAACGCTCCACTCTAGCCAGGAGCCGTACCATCGAGCTGCCATTGAACGGATATTATCCTCTGTCGTACAGGGTGTCCCGATTATTCCCAAAGAAAATCTAGACAAGTGTCTAGACAGTGCAACGCGTCACATAACGAATTATTTTCTTCGCAAGTGTTCGCTAATAAAAACATTCTGGTAACTACGCTTCGACGCTTTCGACAAACGGTCAAACGTTACTTTTCGAATTTGAAATTGGCGTCCCTCTGTGTCGCCACACCCCGTATACCCACACGTACAGAAACTCACTCAGCACGCGCGTAATTACGCACTCTG